TTCAGAAGTTAGAGATTATTCTTCGACCACTATTTTGACCCAAAAATCCAAATTTGAAGAAAATTGCCGACCCGAAGGTATACTGTAACCTTAATGTAACATGTAAAAAATTTCTCCACGAGCTCCAAGCGCAGGACCATCTGACTTTTGAGGGGGTGTGTGGGTGATTTTGAAAAAAAATATCCTGCAAGAATGCTTGTACCCAGAAAAATTCATGAACATGAACACTGCCAAAAAAAAAAACCAAATCCTTCAGTGAGCCGGAAAAAGGGCTCCATGTTACAGAGAAAAAAGATGCCATGCGTACACACATCTTGAGCAAAAAAATTTCTAGTACACGAAAAGTCAAATGTCCCACCCCTTATTACTCAGTTAACTTAATAATTGTTGTGCTTTGTTTGCCTGTCACGTAGAATTTAGATGAAAATTGTTAAGTAACACAAATTTATCGTAAGTAAATTATACAGCAAAAAGTAATTTTAATGATAATAAAACATAAAATTATGCAATTATATTTTTCACCTGCTATGGTAGTAAAAAATAAAAATGTTTAAGGTTCTGTTGTCTGCTGTGTAATTATACGCCGAGTTGAATTAAATACATTTGTCGCTTTGGTAACTCCAGGGTTGCAAAACAACTTTTTAATAAATTATTTAAGTGGTTTGAACCCAGGAGTTACACTGTAAATAATGAGTAGTTCGTCATGTGTGATCGTCCAGTGAGGGTAGTTCTGAAAAGAACTGTTTTTGGTGACTGACGTTTCTGAGCTGAGCAGAAGTTATTTTCAAAGTCAAATGAAAATGCTTTGTCCGGCGATGGTGTCATAAGACTGATTGGTCAGTTTAGCCGTGATGGCATTGGCTGTAAGACTCGTGTGTAAAGTTTTTTAACAGTCACTGGTCATAATATCAGTCCAATTGAGTTTCAACCACTCTCGTGGTACAACTCTCTGAAAGTTGTGGCCCGTCTTATTCTCAAAATTCTTGAAACAGGATCTTCTGTTTTTTAATCGTTAAGGTAAAATGATCCAAGTTGTGTTCTCACTTGATTTCCAGGGTGCAAGGTTTGCTTATCAAGATGGCCTTAATCCCGTACTTGAATCAGAACAGCAACAAGAAAATTCTCACTCCGCTGCTTGTTGCAGTTCGTGAAAGGCTCAGTTTCCATCAATTTTATAATGCCTGATCACAGGAATTGAATGGCCGTATCCGTAGGAAGACGGACATTACGTCTCAAATACATTATGCGTCCAACTGACATAATCACAAGACTGTTAAGTTCGTCCTACGCTTGTTCTACCATAAATACGTCTTATTTTCCGTATTTAACTAACCGCATAATACAATTGAGACCTATGATAAGTCTTCCTAGGTAGCTACGGCCATTGACGCACGAGTTAATTAAAGGTTATTACTATAATTAAGGACAAAAATCAGCGATAATAATTTCGAATGACGTTTCGATGACACGTTCGTCATTTTCAATTCATTGTAGAGTTTTTAATCACATGCAAAGAGACTTTCACACGTATTCTCAATATATAAAGAATCCGTACGAACCTGACATTTAGAATTTGAAAACGATGAACGAGTCAGTCGAAATTTTTATGGCTGATTTTTATTCTTAATTGTTTGTCGAAAGCCTCCGTTATCACTATAATAACACTAGTTATGCAATGCTTTTCAGTGGTTTACCGTGAAATATCCCACGATCAAGTCACTTGTATTTTCTCGTTATACACACGAGGCTTTAGGCGAGTATACCAAAAAAATACAAATGAAAAGTTCGCTGTCTCATGGTACACCATTCGAAAGCATTGCATAACTATATTATACCATGCCATGGAAAATACAGTGGCCAACACAACCTATGGCATGGTATAAATAAATGTAAAATACAACAAAATCATGCTATTATAAGGTATTATCAACGGTTTGTAAATTTTGGAAGCTTTGTACCCGTTTGCGTTTTACACCTTGCATATATATATTTAAAGATGCGTTAAAGCGTGACGTGAAAAGTTTCTCGATTTTTCCATGGGACTCTCACTTCTCGGGGGGAAAAAATAATCAAATTGAGTTCGAGGAATGAATAAATAATATTTTTTTTGTTATATTCCAAAGCATATTCGTATTCTCGGTATTGGACTGGAACTAGCTTGCGATCGAGGCTCATGCGGGGGAATATCATTAAAAAGAGATTTATGTCATTTGCATTTGAAAAGATTCCCCGCATTAGCCTCGGTTGCAAGCTAGTTCCAGTCTATTACCGAGAATACGAATATGGCCTATTGGCAGCACCTCACAGCTCTAGTATGGGTCAAAACTACTTATCTTATGCGCAACGAAAACTTTGGTGAATATTCAAATTGGGATAAATATTTTATTAGAAATCGCACATAGCTTTTAAATATACTTTTTATTTTGTAGCATAAGAGGTAGTTTTTATATTAGTTGTTTTAATAATAGTCAGAACGTTACAACTAGATTTATATTTTGTTAAACATTTTTAAGTAGAAGTAATTGAATATTTACAGTATTACAGCTGATGAAGACATTGTCCTCTGTTGGGGCTTCCTAGGGTAGTGGAGGTGGGAAGGAAGAGGGCGTGGAGACGATGGGTAGAGGGAAAAGGGGGGCTCTTTTTCCTTGCCAGTGTTCCCTGTGCGCTTTCTTTCTTCTCTCCCCAACCTCTAAACTGCTCTGAGCCTACACGTAACGGTCAAGACAGCACTGAAGAAGGTTCTACAGAGGAGAGATCTTCATGCGTGAAGACTGGAGGCCACGCGCGTTCGTACTTTGTTTTGAGCATAATAATCAACAATCTTGTTCTTTATATTTCGTTGAACCCAATCAAGGACGAAAGATTTTTTCTCTTCTGTCACATAAGAATTCCTCTGTGCAGCTTATAAAAAACAAAAACAAAAAAAGGTGGGATTTAAATAACAATTTTGGTCAAAATTTTGTCCAAAAACAAAAAAAACACATTTCAGTCCAGGCCTAGGATTACTCTTCACTCATTGAAAATGTCATGAAAAACATCCATACATTTGTCTGTATTTTTTTCCCCGCGAACCGCGTCTGGACGTCCGTCTACCCAGCCAAATTTTACAGACAAATGTATGGAAAATTAGAAAAATTAACTGAGCGTCTTCTAGCCAAGCTACATCCTCCAAACTTTTCTACCTAGTATTTCAACGGTTTGATTCACAAATTGTGTAAAATTCAATTTTCGAAAAAGTTATTTGCAATCGGGTTCCCATACAAACACTAATTTCTGACCGCTTTGCCTACCCTTCAAGATGGCGGCGAAAACCGCGATAAGGTCTATTTAAAGTGAAATAGTTAGTGGCAACTCAAAATACCGGGAAACAAAATATATTAATATATACCGATGTTTAGTCTAAGAATTTTATCGCAATCCGAGAGTTTTAAGAACTTTCTTTGAGGTCATGGCGAGTGATTAAGGATCGTTAAGGTAATATAGTTAAACTAGCGGGAATCCCGCCGGATATCCCGGACTCTTGCAGTACGAAACCCTTGCCATTTTACTAGCGTTTAAAAATTTTACATGTTTCTGAATGTTTGTAGTTGTTTTTTCAATGATGTATGTTTTTATAGTTGTCAGATTGCACTTTATACGGATAGTGCGTTGGTGACGCAATAAGCGATTCTAGAAATTCTGACCAAGTTGGCGGGCTCGTAGAACAACACAAAATAGATATAATAGATATCCTTGTGAATGAATTAAAATGAATGAATTAGTCATGCCTGTTTGATTTCTTTTACTTTATTACCTTCTCCTGCCAACGTTTATAGCATTGTCAATTTCAAGAGTTCATTGGACCCTTTTTTCGCGAACAATTGACATGGTAAGGAGTTAGCGCTGCTGGATGGCGAGCATAGAAACGTTAAGTTAACCATGTTGATGCAAACACCCCATACACGAATAGACCATTACTTTCCTTTTGCCTCTGTGTCAAAACGAATCTTCATGCCAAACCATTCATATGAAAATATGTTCGCCCTACAGGTTAATTTTCATGTAAATCAAAAGGTAACTCGGAATTGTCGGAAATGGCCTATTTCCAGGCGTTAACGGCCTAAATACATTACAAACCGATTGCAATACCTCTTATCGTTTCTTTCTTTCTTTTTTTCGTTACCCTCTATCTTGGGCAAAACTTATAACATAGCGCGCTCAATTCCTATTGAGCCACTAACAACTGGATCATTGGAAAATGCAATTCGAGAGTTTTCATTGGCTTAGCCATCATGGGTTATGAGTCATTATACCATGCTCCAAGAATATGGTAAGCGTACGCGTGATTTTTTGGAACTTTTTTTCAGTTTAGTTTTCTATATTTGGGGGGCGTTTTTAATAAAACAATTATTCCACTCGCGCTTGTTGGATATGAGATAATTATAGCCAACTCGGCGCACGCCTCGTTGGCTATCTACCATCGCCAACGCGCGCTCGTGGAACAATAATATACGCACGGCCGTGCGTATATAACATGACATGAGCAGTTTCATTTTGGTTGCTAAGTTTCTGTCGAGTTTAGCTTCGAATTCCCTTAGTGAAAGTGTCGGCAATGTGAACATCATTCTGAACAATCCAAACTCTACTTTTACCAAGCTAAGATGTTTACTAAAGCCTGAGTACTTTGACTGTGTTTGCCTACATTTTGATTGAGTATTGTGACTTTGTTTGCCTACATTTTCATTATTCAAAGCGAATTTTTTAACAATTTTAGAAACCAGCTTAAGCGTTCTCGCTCAACAGCCGTCGCTCAACTGATTGTGGCGTTTTTTTAACCAGCAAAAAGGATCAAAAAGGCCTCGAGCAACTCTAACGCTTCTCTCGTGCTCTCCAAACTTCCAAAGTGCATCCATAACTACTGATAAACGCACAGCTAAAGCATGAACCAATTCTTTTACTCAAGAAGCCAGAGTTGCTCTCGGCTTCTCTTGCACTCTCCAAACTTCCCGCGTGCATCCATAACTCGATACGTACGCTAAGCATGAAACAACAATTCTTTAGTAGCTTTTAGTAGCTTTGGAAAATTGGCCGGTGAAATGTAATTAATCCGAGGGCCGGAAGAGAACCTACGCGGATCGTAAACACGAAAAAATGAGTGACCTGTTCACTAAACATGTGAAAGCACGAGTCTACTACCATGCAAAACACGATCAACATTAGTAGCAGTGAAATCCCACGCATCGGTCAGTACTCCTCCTTGCGTTTCATACCCATATATCAAACCGTCTTCCTAGTAACAGCGCTTTTTTGCTTTCGTTAACAGTGCATGAACAGCAAGAACCGGGACACTCTCCTCACTAAGCAAGTCAGCTCATACACATCACGCTCAAATTCCTCATCCAAAGTCTGCGGGACAGAAAGCAAACTCAAAGTTTCCCCTGCTGCCAAATGAAGTGTTCACGTTACTGACCCCGCGTTTGGAGCGACACCATGCGGATTCTTCAGCTTATGCTTCCCTTAACTTTCTTTAACATTACTGCATGCCAATTTTTTTTTTAATATTCTAGTTTATGTCGTACATTTCCCCTCGTTTCGCACCTCCACTTGCCAGCCGAATAGTCTTTCTGGAAGGGTGTCTGGAAAACCCGAATAACGAATAGCGGATAGTCGCGAATAGTGACGAATAGTCGTCAATAGTCACCGTTTTGTTCAGCACTGATCTGGATTCATTGAAATTGATCACGTGGAGCAATAGCGTTTAGCAGCGAACGCTGATAAATTCGACGAAGCACGTTCTGTGAAAAAAATGATAATAAAATACAAATGTGAGGCATGTGGTCTGTGATGAATTTATCAACTGAAAAGACACAAACGAGCTGCTCTGATAACTGGTTATAAAAACAAAAACATCTAGGCTATATCTTGCGTTAATTCATTATCCAAGTAAGTAACAGAATTTCAGTGAATTTAGGGACTGTGCAATAATTACCTGGAGGGTGGGGGTTGGAAAATTAGGGGGGCGCATAGGAGAAAATGGCAACAAGAGAGAGCGGGGCTTGGATGTAAAATTTAATACATACATGG